AGAGATAAGAATTAGTGAGATATCAAAGAAACAGAATGCAATAAAGAGATACTTACCTTTGGCCAAGTCAATCACCATGCCTCTGCCTTTCCTAAGTGTTCTTTATAGGAGACGTTCTCTTCTTTGTAAGTATTCGTGAGATGACTGGGTTATGCGAGGCACTACGGTTTAGCGACGGACTTGCCGGTTTAGCTCATGACAGCAGAAAACTTCTATAAATCTCTTGCTTCAAAAGTTAAATAAGCCTTCAGATACTTCACAATCGGTTCTTTTTCCTTTGAAAACTTTCTTGCTGTTGATATCAAAGGTATTACTTGACTTTTCTTAATCACTAGGTGTCAAGTTTTTGAGTGAAAAGGTTTGTAAACAAAAGGGAAAGGATAGAAGTAACTTTTGAAATTATATTTCAAGTTGTTTTAAGGAAAGTAATAAGACTTTATTAGCAAAGAAGTATAAAAACTTCTTGTGAACATCTTTTTTGTATATAGTCAGAAGATCAATGGAAAGAGTTCACTTTTGAATCAAAGTTATATATATATACGTATATATATATAATTAATTTAATTATATAGCTATTGTTTTAATTTTTAATTGATAAAAAATTAAAGGTCATATTTTTATATTATTATTTAACAAGATAAATAAGAAATTTATACAAAATTAAATAAATTTAATTTAAAAAAAAAAATCAATACATTAATTCCAGTAAAATATCAAACTTGAGACTTTTCCATTGAGTATAGAAATACTATTATTGTATTATAAATTTACAAATTTAAGATTATCAACTTTTAGATATCGAATTCCATTTTGATTTAATAAAATTTTTCTGAAAAACTATTTATAATCAATTAAAAAAATGAAATTTTAATTCAAAATTAAATTTCAATAAGTTTCATGAACTTTGAATTGAAGTTTTAAAAAAATATCCAAATGAATAATTCAATAGTACATTTGAGTTGCGTTTAAAAAAAAAAAAAAAAAAAAAACTCTAGAAAAAAAAGCTTATGGAAAATTAAGTTAAATAATAAGGTTGATGGGTATTACTTAGGCATAAAATAAATTCATTTAGTTTAAAACTTGATGATATCTATTTTAGTTTTTTATGAAATAATATTATAATATGAATTGGGTGTAATATTTTTTTTTTTAAAAAAAAAAAAAAAAAAATTTCAACCTTAGCTTATTTTTTATAATTAACCATATAAAGGATTTCCGGTTAAACTTTCGATATTAAGATTCATTTTCATCAAATTCCTAATCCCACTTTTATTTAATTGGATTAATGATGTCGTAATAAAATATTATTTAATTTGAAATGTACAAGCGATAATTTATTATCGAACCGTCATTTTTTATAATCACTTTATGAACATCATCTTATAGTAATCACCAATAATGTCGTGATTCTTTGCGTTGTAGGGAGGGTAAGGCAAGTTGCGATACGTAAATTATTGTATAGATAATGCGAACCTGATTAAATTATGATAGCGAGTTTAAAAATATTAATATACTTTACTCATATTTTAATTCCTGATTATTCTTTTTATAAAACTTTTAAATGCAAGCTTTTGCTCAAATAAAAGGTGCAAAATATTACATGGTCATCAATTCGATCCCTATTGGTTTTGTACTTTATTTGTTGCGATGATCAAAGCGTGCCACAATTTCACAGCGGTTAGAGGCTTTTATCGTATAGGAAGAAATAGGAAATATTAAAAAAATTTTAAGTCGAATATTTGATCCCGGAAAGTTAGTTCACCTTGATAATTAAATGAGCTTCTTTATCACACAATTCAGCTTTTTCGGTGACCTCGAGATGCTTCATGATAGGTAAGATACAGATAACAAAGATATTATTTTCTTTTGAGATTCTACAAATGTGAACAACTTGTTCGACGGAAACACACGAAAAGTCAAGAACAATTGTGTTAGCATCAGCCATTTCCACGTCATCGGGGTGAATAAACGCGTACGATTTTATATCAAATTCATCAAGAGGCGCAATGATCCTTTTCATTGTTGCAGAATCTTCGCCGAATTCCGTCGATCTAATGACGCCAACTTTCAAATTATTTTTCGGGTCGGCCCCAGTTTGAACTTGTTCTCTAACGTAACGCGATGGTAAAGGTTTGTTCTCATCATCTTCCCCTACGTCAATTTCCATTGGAAGCACGATTTCGAAAGTAATAGAATCAATCGATGCGCTTGAATCCTCCGGAACGTACACAAACATGAAGGTACCATCGATCATTTTTATGATCTTTTCGACAAATCTTTTCAAAATTTCAAATACAATATGTAAGCGATGTGAATTAAGTGCAAGAAAAAATGCGAATATTTTAGGTGGAAAAGGTTTACTTGATCTCTAATCTTTCGAAAATTTCCTAATTCCGGTAAAAATAATTCAATTTATAGAAGTCGTATTAGTAGAAAAGTCAAATACCATTCGCTTAACTCTTTTTGTGATATCTCCAATTGCTTTAATTTCAAATTTCACATGCGAAATACACTGTCCCCTTTCGCCTCCTGAGATGATTTCTTGAGGTTTAACCGAGAACACAATCTTTCCACCTCGAATAGTCTCTAGCTATTAAAATAATAAATAATAAAAAAAAAAAAAAAAAAGATGAACTAAATAGATTCCACGAATCAAATTGGATTTGCGATGTGATTAATTACAATAAAGACATACCATACTTCCCATCAGCTGGAATTGCAGTTATTAAATATTATGTTGATGACAGAAATTATTTCATATCGGGGACTCACGTTAATCATAATTTGTTTTATTACGCCAACGTCTCCGACATATGTTGATTGAGAAAATGGAATTTGATAGTCGAAATCAAAATCAATTTCTTGAGTTTCAAAGATTAATTCCATTCCTGAGGGTTTTTAATCGATCGTCAGGACGTGAAGTTACATAAATATATATAAAATAAGAAGGAAAAGAATTTTTTCATGATACCGTCACTGATTTGTTCTGTCGCTAAGTAAAGATCGAATTTCTTATGTTCCACTGAAAACCTAAAATTACCTTCATTGTCACGATAATTTTAATTCGTTAATTTCATGATAACAGTAAATAAAGAAAGGAACTCAAGCAAGCACACAATAATAACACTTTCCATTTACAAAAACCGTAACCCTTACCTAGGTCCTGTTGGAAGATAAAAGGAAATCGTGGATTAATTGAGAAACTCGGTCAATAATTGCGCGCGTCAACTTACTGTATCAACCGTGCGAAGAACGTGATCAGTCATGTGAATAATATTTATGCCTGCATTTTGAATCGCCAAAGTAAGCGCGCGCTGCGGAGATGACAATGGGTATTCACATAATAATTCTGTGCTGGCCAAAATTCCATGCATAGGCGTCCTTATTTCTACAGTTGTATAAGCAACATGAGCGGCATGATTCGTTGCTTTTTTTTTTTTCGGCCTGTATTACCATACCATGACTAATAATTCGTAGGAACGCCGACTTCGATTGGTTTTCAGCGAGAGCCTAGCGAAATGAATGTGTACTCTATTTATCAAAATCTTTAAGGAGTACGTAGAAGAACGATAAATGGTGAAATGGCGAATACCTCTTCCATTCGCCCGTTTCTGTATCTCGAAGAGAAAGATCGTTCGTTGGCAAAAGCAGATAATATAGAAAGTGTCAAAAGTGGAACGATCAGAGAATACGGTAGTTCTTTAACCGTCGCATGTCTGTTTTTTGGTTACATTAGTTAGCCAAGAATTTTTTATTTTTTTTTTTGTTTGTTTTTTGTAGCCATTCATTAAACCAGCATTAAGTAATTCGTCACCTATATATCTCGACCACATAAAGGAAAAGCATGATTGTAAAAATAATCATTCCGAATTTACGTCCGACCAAGATATAGCTGCAGTTCGGGTATTGATGCATTTATTGGTTATTCATCGATTTCTAGGTAATTTTTATAGCCAGAACACCGAATGACACCTGAATAGCGGTAATAGAAAAAGACCTCCGCCTGCAACACTAAAATCTGAGATTTACGAAATAGAAGAGTGTAATAAGTATTAAACATAAAAAAAAAACATCGATGATAATTGTTGAAAGTGAATCATCACATTTGTTCTCACTTTTATCAGGACTCTGTGGACGGACGATATACAAACAAAAAATGACAGTAAAGCTTATGGTTATTACTCCGGCGCAAAAGGTCGTCGAAATACGATTAGTGTACAAGCTATAAATGTTAACTGAAAAACCAAGTAGTATGGTACAACGCTCTCAAGCTTTAATGCATAGGATTTTATGCTGTGATAAAAATCTTACTCGCAAAAACAACAGCCAACGCGACATAAAATTTCAGGGATGCATCCGAACCAAGATCCGGAGATTGCCAATAGAATAGAAATGCAACGTGGACGATGTATAAAATCATCGTGATGGCTGCTGCATACGCTTTGAGCATCTCGTAATTAGACGTTTCTCCGGCTTCATCATTGTCTCCTGGTGTGATGACTCGTCCTCGCGTCCAAGAATCGAAAATCCTAGTGACTCTCTCAGGACCAACCATTGGAGGTAGAAAGAAGCACGGTCACTTGATTTTTCTTTTCCAAAAACCAAACCAAACCTCTTTATTTATAAAAAATTTTTAGACTATTATTAATAAACTGTTTTAATGATCACATTTCATGCCTAAAAGCAAATTTGAAGAATTTAATATAGCCTCCAGAATTTATTATACTCTGTTGAATTGCCACGGTTGGTAGCATGTCACACCATAGAGACCACGATAATTAAGCTTTTGCTGTAGTAATAGACTAGTATATATAATGAGATGCTGATGGAAATAATTATATCAAGGCCTCTATTTGACTATGCGTGATCACGGGCAGATGGTCGTAAAACATAGAGTTTAAAAGCATATTGGCAAACGTGAAAAAAAAAAAAAAAAAGCAAAAAGAACCTTTCTTTTGTACTGTAATAAATAATGGCAATTCTTTTTTTTTTTTTTCAAGTTGACAAATTTCGGTGATTTAATTAGTAAAGTTCTTTGAGAATTGAGATTTAAAATGGGAATTATAATCAAAAATCAATAGAATTATTTCATATTTGATAGATTTATGGATTTAAATATTTTCTTATTGCAATGTAATAAACAATTAAAAAATTGATAGAGTATATTTTTTAAAAATTTTTTTTTCAAAATCGTAATGCTATATGAATAGTTTATTTTTTAATAAAAAAAATTCGATTTAATAATATATTGTTAAAAATTGTTGAAATAAATTTATTCTAATATTATATATAATACGTCCAGTACAGCATATTTATTTGATTACATTGATTCATCAATAACTTTTGAAATTATAAATGAAATACAAATAAAAAATTTTATTTTAAAAAATTATTTTCAAGGTATGTATGTATGTATCTTTAAATTTTTTATAATATTTGAGTAATCTGTTATTAAGTTTATGAACGAAAAAAATTTTTGGAACGACTTATTTTAAAATCCACAAATAATCACGAAACATTTCCTCGCTGGTGTTGTCGCGCACATTATAAATTAAATTATAAAAATGACATACAGTTAAATAAAAATGATAAACTCACAATTTGATTTATGAAAAAGTTAATCAGTTAACAATTGTCAATAATTGATGAAGCATGGTTTTTGATTAAAATAGTTTATTTTAAGATTTTAGATAAAAATTAGGAATATACTGTATATACATTGTCAGTATTAAATATACTACAATTTTGTATTAGCAGAAAAAATATTGATACATATTTACGGTACATTTAAAGAACATGATTTTTTAAAACAATTTTAAATGCATTTAAAGGAATCATATTTAAAAAAGATCTATGATACTGTATATGCAAAATATAAAATAAATACTGTAAGTAAATGGTTGCATATTAAATAGGGGATTATAACCTTTTTAGATCCTTATTTTTTATGTATCTGCTAAACAAAACAAAAACAAAATAAAATAAAATAACATAAAACCAAAAATAACTAAGTAAAGTATAAAATCATTACAAACTTGCGCCCCGACTGCACAAGGCGCAGAAATTTTAATCAGAGTTATATTAACCTGTCAGGTGAAAAAAAAAGAATATACGCACAGCGCATAGTATGTATAATGAATTTATGTAGAGAGGTTATGATGACACGAGATTAACAGGTGATAGTACAAGTTAGCAGTCTTGTGAACGCGAGAATTCCGCATCTAAACTTTCCGATACTTCAGCGCAGCGCACAGAAGCTATAATCTTGACGGAATAATAATAATAATAATAATAAAGTGCAATTATTCATAAACGAAACAATACGTATATTGACCAGACGACTCGAATAACTTAAAACTCAGGTCATTCCAGTTTTTAATAAACATAGAGATAGGAAGATTTCTTAAAACATATGCAGTCATACTTCTTGCCGCAATTTAAATAATGTTCTTAGTCATAATATAGCTGAGTTGTTGACATCATTGGACTTGATTAATCCAAACGTATCGGTATGTGAGTTGTGTGCGATGAAGGAGTTCGAATTCTTCATTCCCGGACTCAGGTGCTTGCTTTGCGGAATAGGAACAATAGTCTGTCGTGTTACATCACCAGAAGAATTTTTCTCGCTGATCACGGTTTCGGATTTCGATAACTTGAATATTTCAGGTAAGGAGAGTCCGAATTCTGTCAGCACGAATACTGTGAGTGCACTGCTAAATATCTCTAAATATATGTAAGTTGGCAAGTCACTATGGACAAGAATTAAAATTCTGTAAACGCTCATTGAAATTAAACAAATGAGATCGAGAGTGAAGATCAACGTTTGATATCGGCGAAGTCTTAATAGTTGTTGACCCTTCGAATCGTTGTCGTAACGTTTACTCAAGGTTTGAAATAATTTCACATAGAAAATACTCTCGGATATAATGTAATATAACCTAAATGTAGGAGCCATGCCGTCACGAATTTTCCAAATCAAGTTCGCTTGAGAACAACTGGGCCCCATGACTGACTCATTACATGAAATGTTTTCATATATATTTACTATGAGAGTGATAAATAACTCAATTGCACGTAATCCAATCAGGGTGTAATGTATTTTAGGATGCTTTCTGTATGGTTCAAATACGGTCCTACAGCGTAAAAAGGCGAGATATAGTAGTATAGGCTTCTCTATGAGATAGGAGAGATCGCTTATGGTGAGTGCCCAACGATTCCATTCGTTCGATAATGTACCGGAACCGTGTAGAACCATGAGAACTCCGGAAGACTCGTTGACAAGCATTGCGATGTTGATTGTGGGAAAGAAAATCATCTTGAAATTAGTATGTGTAACGAACATTTTTAAAGTGGAATGTGCACTGAGTGCTATACTGACTCCAAGAAGCGTCGCCCACACGATATTTTCAAAGGAGTCATCCTGGTTTTCAGTTGCCATTGGTTTGGCGAAAAAATTAAGGAGAGAGGGGATAAATTGAAGAGATATTCTTTAGTTGATAGAATCCAGTAATACGTGTTTAATGGAGGTTTTTAAAGTTAATCTTAGTAGTCTAATAATTTTTTTATAAATAAAGAGGTTTGGTTTGGTTTTTGGAAAAGAAAAATCAAGTGAC